ACTAAGAGTAGGCTGTGTTCTCAGACCCAGATCCAGGGAACCACGTTTCCACACTTGCCCACCAGGAAGGTGGAACAGGTGGGCACTCATATCCTAAGTGCCATCTGGTGGATGCCAACGAAATCCCCCTGCTCCTGCAGTAGGGCAGCAGCTCTCACGACCGTTAGGGCAATCACTGCGATGGCAGATTCTGCAGCAGCGTGTCAGTCTTCCGGGACTTTGACCAGGTGGGTGCCAGGTTTCCTGCCTGCCTGACTCGTGCCTGGTTCTGCAGAGAGCCTGCTACCTGTCCATCAACCCCCAGAAGGATGAGACACTAGAGACGGAGAAGGCTCAGTACTACCTGCCCGATGGCAGCACCATTGAGGTAGGTGAACGAACCTGTGCCCTCAGGCCCCCAGAAGGTCTGGGGCTGTACAGAACTCTTCGTGGGGCGGCAGGAGTCAGATGTGCCCATCTCTGTCAGCCCTCCTGGAGCAGCAGAGCTCGTGAGCAGCACCACCGCCTGCCCAGCGATGTGTGCCAGGGACCTGGCTTCTCTTGTGTGGCGAGGAGGCACCAGAGGCATTTTCCTGGGTCGGGATGGGGTCAGGAAGAGGGTGGTTAGTGCTGTCCGTAACTACGTGAGCACAGCATAGGCTGGGTTGCCTCTCCCCAGACCTCCATTGATTGGAAGAAGTTTTTATGAGTGAATGAGTCCATGTATTAATGCCAAAGGTCTCTTGGCTGGATGATGCCAGAGCTAGGATTAAACAGAGGAGCTTCCTCTCTCTAGTTTCCTGGGAGCCCTGTTTCTTTTTGTTCCCTGTTTGTTCCCAAGAACCCTATCTTTGTTCCTTGAGACCTTGGCATCTGAGGTCTTTCCTAAGCCTGGACTTCATAGCCACCTGGTTACTAAGAGGTGGACACAGGGGCCTCTTCCATCCCCCTTCCCAGAGACCTCGGCCCCCGTTCCACCTCTGAAGCTGGCCCTCCACCCTGCAGATTGGTCCTTCCCGATTCCGGGCACCTGAGCTTCTGTTCAGGCCAGACCTGATCGGCGAGGAGAGTGAGGGCATCCACGAGGTGCTGGTGTTTGCCATCCAGAAGTCTGACATGGACCTGAGGCGCACGCTTTTCTCTAACATTGTCCTCTCAGGAGGCTCCACCCTGTTCAAAGGTTGGTCTTTGCTCTCGGGGCCCTTCCCCAGAAAGCTTCCAGATCCTGCTGGGCCCAGATGCCCAGAGAATTGACTTGAGATTCTCCTTTCTTGCCCATTCAGGTTTTGGTGACAGGCTACTGAGTGAAGTGAAGAAACTGGCTCCGAAAGATGTGAAGATCAGGGTAGGACCATGGTGCAGGCTAGGGCTGGGTGGAACTGGGCTTCCAAGGGTCCATAGTGCCATATGGTGTGGCCCCCTTTCCAGCTCTGCCCAAGCTTTTCAGGCAGCCAGGGCTCCACAGGTACTGCCAGATGCTCCCACTTCCACACTGACCCTGAGGTCTGCCAGAGTGGAGGGCCCGTTCTCACTCTCCATCCTCTCAAAGGGGGGCAGTTCTAATACCCAGATGACGCCGGGTGCTAGGCTGAAGGCCCCCGTGTGATATTCCAGGGAAACTGACATTGATAGGAGATTGACTTTTGCTACTCCCCTGTGACAGTCCAACATCTTAGTGACTGCCGAGGGGAGCTAGTCTGCCTGAGAAAGGAGGGGTTCTAAGTGAAGGAGTGTGGTTCCTGCAATGGCATCTTGCCCCCAGATAGCCCCAGCCTTTCTGGGAATTGTACTTAGGGTGCGAGAGACCGCAGGGTCCAGCAGGTCCACTTGGTCTGTTGTGTGAAATGCATCCACTGCCTTGGGTGGTGAGAATTAGCCATAAAGAAGAGAGTTGGAAGGGAAAGTGAGAGGGGAGGGTGAACGTCTCAGATTCCTCTTCCTATTCCCCTTGCAGATATCTGCTCCTCAGGAGAGACTGTATTCCACATGGATCGGGTGAGTAGTTCAGGGAATAAGAGTGGAATAGGAAGCAAATACCCACGCTCTTTTCTCACAGTGTTCCTTTGATTCCCTCTACTCCAGGGGCTCTATCCTCGCCTCCCTGGACACCTTTAAGAAGATGTGGGTCTCCAAGAAGGAATACGAGGAAGACGGTGCCCGATCCATCCACAGGAAAACCTTCTAATGCTGGGACATCATCTTCATCTTTCTCTGAAGTTAACTCCACTTTAAAACTCGCTTTCTTGAGTCGGAGTGTTTGCAAGGAACTGCCTGTGTGTGTGTGTGTGTGTGTGTGTGTGTGTGTGTGTGTGTGTATGGATGTGTGGGTACAAGTATGTGCACCTATGCGAGTGCCGTGTGGCCCAGGGATCCCAGGGCCCAGAAAGGACGATGAACTACCCATGATGGTGATGGCCTGAGGCCTGGGGTTGACCACTAACTGGCCCCTGACAGGAAAGAATGCTGGCAGAGGGCCCCATTCCTTCGTCTACTGGGCCTTTGTCTGGCTGTGTGGGACTACGTTTACTACCTATCATAGGGACACAGAGGGAGGTAGATCTAACCCCAGGGAGACCTTGCTGCTGCCCATCCTAAGCTGGTTAAACCCCACCCCCACCCCTTCCCCAGGGTGCCCCGAGGCCCAAGGCAGCTGCTGCCTTCCTTGTTCATCATTCTGTTCTTGATGCCTCTTGATCATGGACTGAGGACCGGAACTGGGGTTGAGTTCTATCTGGTTTTGATTGCAGTTTGGGTTGGGAGGCTGGAAAGGAGAGGGCAGGATGTTCTTAACTTTACCTGGGGGCCAGGACCACACTGGGCATTTGAGGAGGGCAGGAGTAGTGCTACTTTTGATTGGCGGCAGAGTTAAAATTCCAATCCCAAGCCCCATCCAGGGGATCTTGGGAGAGCTTAAGGAACCTGTTGGCTCCAGGCCATTACTTACTTTTCATCCATCCTTGGGCAATGCCATCTTCAAACAATGTTATTTATTTGTTTGTTCAGTATGGGAACTGGAGAGAGGGAGCTTATTGCCTCCTGCCCACCAGTCACCCTGTTCACACTAATGTTTACAGCATCTAAGCTTAGCATGGCCTCCAGGGCCCCACCACTCCCTGCTAAGGGTGAACTGACAGTATCCATAGGCTGAGGCCATTTGGGATCTGAGGTTGCACTCAAAGTCACTCCCACAGCCTTTCTCCCTCTCCCACTTGCTCACTGCCCTGGAATCCACAGGCTGGTTGCTGGTTGGATTTTTCTGAAACAGGTGGTAGAATCACTCCTTGGCAGAGGCCCTAGCAAAGGAGGGGTGTTGGGGGATCTAGCGCCCTTAGGATTGGAGAAAGCCGCAATGAACCAAGTTGCCTTTTCCCACTCTAGCTGACCTGAGGGGCTAGGTTGTAGAGATGAGAAGGTCCCCTCTGGGCTGATATTGTGCCATTCTTGACTTTGGACATGAGTAGTTAGGGAGGGAGGAGGCCAGACCCAGGTGCCAGGAACTGGTGGGCTCAGGCTCACCTCTGGTCCAGTGGGGCCAAGCATGTACTCTGGACTGGGCTGGCCTAGCAGTGGTCCACAGGCCCTTCAGCCCGATGGTACAAAGCTGGGTCTGGCCAATGTTCACCGGCACCCTCACTTGACACCAAGATCTGCCCCAATCCCAGATTCAGGCAGTCTTCCCATGCCATCCAACGATGAAAGGCCCTTCTAGGGTGGGCCACAGCAGCAGGTGTGTGTGAAAGCGATGTTGCGGCCCGCGGACTGCAGTGTGCTTAACCAGTTCACCTCCCTTCTTTTAGCCCAAGCCTGTCCTTCACACAGCCTTGCACAAACCACGTTGCCTGGTGGGGCCCAGTATACTTAAATAAAGTCCTTCCAATAGACACGTCAGCCGGCCTCTGTCAGTGCTGGGAGGGAAGAGGGAGGAGCCCAGGTCCCCCGAATCTGAGGCCTCGTCCTCTAGAGGGCACTGTTGCCCCAGCCAAACTTGGCCAGCTTTAGCCCAAGTGCCAGCCTGTCAAGCCCGTGGGTGAGACTCCACCCAAATGAGGGGAGCAGCATCTGACATCCTAAGTCAGAGGCTCTCAAAACGTGTGTGTAAGAAGCTCAAGAGCTTATTAAAATGCGGTTCCTGAGGCCCATGCTCAGATATTCTGAGTAATCAGTTCTCCATTTTAATTCTATATACTTGGGGGGAAATTGCCCTTCACTTTACAAATGTTAACCCATTTGACCCAACAACCTATACAGTATATTTTTATCATCCACTTTATAGATGTGGACATAGAGCCACAGAGAGATCACGTAATTTCCCAAAGCTAGGATCTGAACCCAGGCTTGTAGCCCTACAGCCTGCATTCTTAGGCACTATGAGGCCCTCAACAAACCATTGGCCTAGAGCCGTGGTCGGCAAACTGCAGCTCCTGGGCCACATGCGGCTCTTTGGCCTCTTGAGTGTGGCTCTTCCTAAGCCTTAGGAGTACCCTAATTAAGTTAATAACAATGTACCTACCTGTATAGTTTAAGTTTAAAAAATTTGGCTCTCAAAAGAAATTTCATTCGTTGTACTGTTGATATTTGGCTGTTGACTAATGAGTTTACCGACCACTGGCCTAGAGCAGTGGTTCTTAATCAGGTCAGTTTTGCCCTCCATATACATTTGCCAATGCCTGGAAATACTTGGTTATCATAATGGGCGGGGGGGGGGGGGTGATGAAGGCGGTGCTGTTACTGGCATCTAAGCAGAGGCCAGGGCTGCCAAGGCCCAGAACACAGGTAAAATCACCACAGAGCTTTCCAAAACCCCAGACCCATGAAAGCAGAACCTTGGGAAACAGAACTCAGACCTTTCACCATTTTTGAAAGCTCTCTGGTGTCTCCAAGGTTGTGGGCTCTGGCCTAAGAGGAGCCGCTCTTTGATCACCGTGTCCATGGTACATGGAAGTGCCCTGGGGCTGTGACTGCATCCCACGTGCCCATGTCCACAGGCTCTCCCTGTTGCCTGTGGATCTGATGTGGGTGGCCACTCCACGCACTCTGGAAAAGTGCTCTTGAGTGCTTTTCATATTAAATGAGTCCTATTCCCCAACCCCACCACGCCCGCACAGCACAGACCTCAGGAATGGGAACAGAATGACTTTAATCCGTTTGATGAGCTGAACCTCTTAGGAGGCCAGGTGGGCGTGGAGAAGCCCTGCAGCAGCGGGGGCATGCTACTTCAGGCACAACTGAAGCAGAGATGGCAGACACCACTGGAAGGGTGGAGGGCGGAGTGGGTGGGACTCCCAGTCAGCACCCCGACTGGAGGAAAGGCAGTATCAAAGTGGTTCCTGAGCGCACATGAAGCCCCAGCCCCAGGCAGGGGGGATAGGCCTCTGTGCCCTGTGGCGACCCCATGTGACCACAGGGCATTCCCATCCCTTCTTGGTCCTTTTCTTACTCCTGCCCATAAGGGCAAGCAGGTCCCTGAGCAAATTTGGCCCAGCTCTTGCCCAAGCTGGGCCAGGTAGCCAAGCACGATCTCAGACCCAATGACGCTCCTGGCTCAGACCCAGGAGCTCCCGTTCTGCCCTTCGATCTCAAGGCTGCACCCAATGAAGGCAGGGGAGCAGGACACCAGGCGGGCAAAAGTGGCTCCTGCCCAGAGCTGTGGGCAGTGTCCTCATCAGAGTGGCCTTGTTGCACCTCTCACACTGTCTTAATGTCAAGGGTTTGGACTTGTGACAGATTCTGGCGTTGGGCTTTGACCATGCGCAGGCGTCTCCCATGCAGCGTGAACTTGGACCAGGTGAACAGTTGCAGCAGAGCACAGGTGATGGGCACCAGCACCAGCAGGTAGAAGCAGCCCTGGCGGAGTGTAGGGGCCTGAACCGGGGGTGGGGCCGGGGGTTCTGGCCAGGGTTGGGCCCTCCCCACAGGGGTCAGTGGGGACTGCTGGAAGAGATCATGACCTGCGACGAGAGCGTGCAGAAAGAACAGAGTCGGCCCTGTGCTCCTCTCAGGTCCACAGTGCCACATCTCAGATGCCACACATACACAACCAAAACACGTTGATTTCTACCCCAACCTTGCTCCTCCCTTTCTGCCATCCACCCAATGGGCCAAAAGCCTCAAAGTCTTCCTAGATTCCCTGGTTGACTTTAGCACTCCCCAACAGCCAATCCTTCACCTCCACCCAACTCCAAAACACATCCCAACCCCAAATACTTCTTTCCAGCCTCCTAGCACCACCCTGGTCCAAGTCTCTATCGCCTCTGCCACAGCCTCCCTACAATCCATTCTCCATACAGCAGCCAGAGCCACCTCTTAAAAACAAATCAGACCATGTCACCCTCTGCTTAAAACCCTTCCAACAGCTTCTCTTTGAACTGAGAATAAAATCCAAACCCTGCCCTGCTCTCCAGAGCCCTCATCAACATTTCCAGCTTCATCTAACCCAGTGGTTCCAACCTTCCTAATGCCGTGACCCTTTAATACAGGTCCTCGTGTTGTGGTGACTCCCAACCATAAAATTATTTTCGTTGCTACTTCATAACTGTAATTTTGCTACTGTTATGAATCGTAATGTAAATATCTGATATGCAGATGTATTTTAATTGTTACAAATTGAACATAATTAAAGCATAGTGATTAATCACAAAAACAATATGTAATTATATATTCAATATGTGTTTTCCGATGGTCTTAGGCGACCCCTGTGAAAGGGTCGTTCGACCACCAAAGTGGTCGTGACCCACAGGTTGAAAACCGCTGATCTAACCACTCCTGATACCTTGTGCCTTTGCACTTGTCACTCCTCTGTCTGGGATCCACTGAGATCTTTGTAGACCAAATCCTTCCCATTCAGTTCATATCTGGCTGTCACTTCCTCAGAGAGACCTTCCCAGACCACACTAAGTAGCTTTTCAGACACATTACAATAAGGCCTCACTCAATGTCCTCAATAAGTTCTGTGACTCTAAGTGAAACAATGTATAATGAACCAACTTTAGCATAGGCCAGTGATGGCGAACCTATGACACGCGTGTCAGAAGTGACACGCGAACTCATTTTTTTGGTTGATTTTTCTTTGTTAAATGGCATTTAAGTATATAAAATAAATAACAAAAATATAAATCTTTGTTTTACTATGGTTGCAAATATCAAAAAATTTCTATATGTGACACGGCACCAGAGTTAAGTTAGGGTTTCCAAATGCTGACACGCCGAGCTCAAAAGGTTCACCATCACTGGCATAGGCTAATCGATATAAACAAGTGAAGTTCCTACAGCATCTCATCAACATTATAATGCAGCAACACTGAACAAAACCCCATCTGTTGAAGACCTGCTGTGTTTTCACCCCTGCTCTTATCACCATCTGCTACTTTCTTGTTTGGCTACATAACACCACATCCCCCTCCTCCCAACTAGATTAAGCTTCACGATGGCGAGGACCTCGTATGTCTCACTGTTGTCTCCCTAGCACTCAGAGCACCACCTGGCAGAGACAGTGTTCTATACATATTTGTCGAATCCATGAATGAACTCTTGAAAGAAGAATCAGAAACCCAGTTTTTCTACTCATGGTGGAGAGGCAGAGGAGGTGTGGCACCCAGGGTAATCCAGTTGCCATTCTCTCCCTCACCAAACCTAGAGCCAGGCTTGTCAGCTGGTATGCCAGGCAAGCCCCTTGCCAGTCCCTGGGCCCTCACCTGTGTAGAAGCACAGCAGCCAGGTGCCCAGCAGTGGGGCCAAGGTTTGGCCTGGCTTGGTCACCAGGGCCACCATGCCGAAGAGAAGCGCCGAGGCCGCCTGCTTGCGGCGGTTCAGCACCAGGTCCTCATCCACCAGGTCAGTGACCACCAAGGTCAATAGCTTACAGGTGCCCTCCGTGAAGACACGGTTGCTGCCAGCAGAGAGAGAAAGCAGGCAAGAGTGAAGGGGTGCAACAGAGGTGTGGGGTGAGGGAGGGCAGGGCATACCTGGCAATGAAGAGACAGAGCAGGCCGGGGCGGTCGGGGCCGGCCAGAAGCATGAGCAGGCTCAGGCCCAGCTTAAGCAGGAAGAGCCCCCGCACCACGGTGTAGACGCCCCAGCGCCGGCACAGGGGCAGGAAGTAGAGGTTGTTGAGATGGGGGGCGACATAGGAGATGCCTGAGGAGAAGGGGTGCAGCCTTGTCGGGACACTGCGGCAGCTTCCACAACTGTCCACATTTTAACAGTCAGAATCAGGGTTTGCCAGGCTCTGTGCTGAGAGCTAATCTGCATCCTTTTATTTAATCCCCACAGCCTTTTAAGGTAGGTACTATTACTCCTACCTTACAGGTGAGAGAGAGATGGAGACCCAGAGATAGGAAATAAAACACCCAAGGCCAAACAGTCAATAAGCACAGTCCGGACTCACAGCCAGGCCCGGCACACTGTGCCGTCTCCTTCTGGGCGGCCCCATCACCGAGAGGACCACCATGACAGCAGCCCTGCCCCCTCCTACCCACAACAGGCTTCCTTCACCCCTTCCTCAGGAAAACAGAGCTGGGGGCTGGAGGTGCAGCCCACCACAGACTGTGCCCTCTGCCACCCAGGCGCGAGCTGGGGAGTGGCTGTGCCTGCAGCTGGGCGAGGGGTCCTGGGTGCGAACCTCTGCCCTTCCAGCCTGCCCGAGACACCACTCACCCAGCAGGAAGGAGCCGGTGGAGAGGGAGATGTGGTCTGACAACAGGTGCTCCAGGAAGAGGGGGAAGAAGTTGCTGTTGAAGTGGCAGTGGAAGACCTGAAACCCAACAGGGCGGTGAGGAGGCTGCCGGGCAGGGGGCGGCCGGGGCAAGAGCAGCCTTTATCCCCCGTCCCTCAGCATGGAACATGCCACAACAAGACCTAAAACCAATTCCTGTTGCTTATCGAATTTTGCTAAAGTTAGGAATGATAACATTGTCATTAGAACAGTTAAAAGTTTTTTTTCCTTTTAAATTAAAAACACCTTAGTAAAGCAAGCTTAATGACATAAAAACGATTTGGCTAGCTTATATACTACCTGTGTTTTAGGTGTGGCACTTGGTATTTTTAAAAGTTTGTCACAGAGTCCCCAGAGGCTGAGACTTGCCTAAGACTTCACAAGGAGTTAGGAGCTCAGATGGTGCTAGAACCCAGGTCTTCTAACTACCCAACCTGTGTCCCTGCCTTCGAATCACCCTGCAGTCATCACGCGAAGCCCAGGACTGACTTCCCAGCGTTTGAGAACCCTACTCCGCTGAGTGAGGCCTACCCAGCCTATCCTGGGTGGGGGAGGCTGCTCCCATACCTGCACCAGGTCCATGACCACGAACCACAGGAAGTTCCGGTGATGCGCCAGCTGCCAGAGGTACTGGCCCAAGGTGATGTTGCCCGCCTCCTCTCCACACAGGCTATGGGGCAGAGGGGAGTCAAGAACAGCCTAGGGCTGGGCCAGATCCACCCCCACCCCAGGACAGCCACCCATCAGACAGGGGATCAGCACTGAAATCAGACTCGGAACAGTGCTGGCCACTCACCCGCTATCCGCAGCCAGGTCTGGACACCCTGGCTCCCTACCGGCCGCCTCTACCCGCCGCCTCAGGAGCCGTGTGGCCCCCACAAAGCCTAGCGCAGAGCCAGCAGCCAGTGCCACGCAGAAGGCACGGAAGGAAGAGAAGTCCTCCTTGTTCCAAAAGGCGTAGGAGGCAAAGACAGAGAGGGAGCCAGCCGCACTGAAGAGGGAGCAGTAGAAGTTGAGGTGGGTGCGGTCGTGGGCCGAGAGGGCCAGGTCAGCCAGCAAGGCGTGATGGTGCAGGTCCACGAGCGTCAGGAAGCTATCATAGAGGCACAGGCACAGCAAGAACTGCAGGCCTGCTGGGGCCCAGGGCACCCAGAACACCAGGAACGACAGCGCCAGCAGCGGCCCATGCCAGCCAAGTGCCCGCACCCGTGCCAGCACCACGGCCCTCGAGGAGAGCCCAGGGCCTGACCTGCCAGGGAGAGGAGGGCTGTCGGGAGGTGCCCTTGCAGCCTTGGTTCCCAGTCCCCCCTGCTCAGGACCCAGAAGAGGGACAGAGGCCCAGAATGTGGGACTCACCCTAGGGTGTCCCACTGAGCTTCGAGTCCGCAGCCTCCAATTAGGAAGCACAACTCACCAGGGGGTACTCCCTCCTCTGCTCCCTTGCCCGCTGCCAGGGCTGAGGGCCAAAGAGGGGTGTGATACCATTTCTTCAGGGTTGGGACAGGGATGGGGTAAAGTAATCTGCCAGAAGCAGCAGTGTGAGGTAGTGAGTGCCCAGTCCCGAGGGCCAGACAAGCGGACCTGAGGTCAATCTCTCCACAAGGTGATCAAGGCCAACAGTTAGTCAAGGCCACTTTGCCAACCCAGACAGTCTGCCCTGACCTCGGGGAGCGGAGGAAGCCTCGACAATAGCTGAAAACGGTCTCCCTTTCTCTCCCCACCCCAAACACAGGTGGGGGGTCCTCCAGTCCCGGGGAAGGGTCGGGTGGGACAGGACCAGTGGTGAGCCTCCCCCAAGACACAAACCGGGGCTGGGAGCTGAGGAACTGACGGTCACTCAGCCAGCCGAAGAGGGGGTCGTTGAGGCTGTTCCACAGGAGAAACACCGTCTGCGGGCAGAGGGGAGACGGGTGGGCTCCAGGCAGCTTCTTCCCCAGGGCTTCCCCTACCCCGCCTGCTCACCACCTCTTACAGATGACAACAGCTTTCCTGCCTGCACACTTCACTCAGGTCAGCCCCTCTGCTAAAACCCACTCTACGGGCCACTGCCCCCATCAAACTCCCACCTGGCCATGGTCCAGCTGGTACATTAATGTATGTGAATACATAAAACAGTCCCTGGCTCATAGGACAGTGGCCAGAACTGGTGTAATCCCCACGGAAGCGTCATCAAGGCCTCCAGCTCAGCTTTTTTTCTTGCTGAGCCTCAGTGGGCAGCCCGGCCTGCCCCCATGCTCCTGGCGGGACCCAGCACTGCCATCTGCCCGACTCCCACCCCAGCACTGGCCTACCTCTCCGACCCAGAAGGCAGCTTTGCTGATCTTGTACACTGAGACAAAGGTATCCACATAGTAAAGCAGGAACACGTTGTGCAAAACGGTGATGAAGAGGGTCAGGGAGCCATAGACCACAGCTGTGGGCAAGTTCAACAGCCAGGCCTGGGGCCCACCCAGCCCCATGGCTGCCAGCCCAGCCTCAGCCTCAGCCTAGGAGCGCTGAGATGCACTCGTGGCCACGTGCAGTCTGGCCATCCTTGTCCCTGGGGAAGAAGGAGCTGGTTAGCTGCAAGGATCAGAGCCAGCTGTGCTCCAAACCACAGACCTGTGAGTCATTTAAAAACTCATTTCCAACTGGGAGAAAGTTTGCGCATAAAACAGAGCTGGGGAATTGGTAATGACATACAGCTGAAACAGTGCTGTGTTCGCCACCGTACCCGGGAGTAACCCGAGGAAGCTGATAAGGCGTGGGAAGCAAAGGCAGGCGTCCAACAAGTGCTGAGCCAGGGCCAACCTTGCTCGGGCTATGTGCTCAGTACCTTCTTTCATGTGCACCATCTGCCCTGCATGACCTAGACGTAACAACCCTGGGCTTGGGCAGGCGGCGTACCTACAATATAACTGCAAGCCACTTAACCCAAGCCTGTTTCCTCTTCCGTAAAGGGAAAAAGGAGATGATCACGCTTACTCTGCAGAGACACTTAAAAGATTAAATAAGGTAACTCACAGAAAGGGCTCAGTGAATGGATGTTGGTGATGTCATTATTAGCTTTACAAAATCCCTACAAAGTGTATAGCACTATTACAATATTATAGAGCAACGCCAAGCTCAGAGATGTTAAGTAATTGGCCCAGTGTCACACAGCAAACATGTAGATTTGAACCTTGGCCTCTCTGGCTCCCAAGCCTTATCTGCCACTTGCCCTCCCAAATCAGGTTCTTACAAACTGTTGGATAAATGGAGAAACCTGCTGTGACGTTAAGTCCCATAGATATAGAAGCACAATAAGAGTCCACAACTGCCCATGCACTTTGATTCCAGAAATTCCTCCTCGAGGAGCTAACCCCAAAGGAATGTGTATAGAGATGTTCATGGCAGCCACATCTACAAACAAAAAATTGGACACAGCCCAAGAACACAACAAAGGGACTGGCTCAGCAAGCTGATGCTCTCTAGGAAGCGGAAGCACACGGAGAAACTCGACACACGGAAGAGAAACTCAAGAACGTGTTACGTGAAAAGAGAGGACAAAGGACAGCGTGGTTGCCTGGTTCCCAACCAGGCCGATCTGCGCAGAAACTGGCTGGCAGGACTGAGGGTCACGGGTGGGAAAGGAAACAAAGGTAGGATTTTTAGTGGAGCGCTGCTTCTCCAACTGAAATGTGCCTGAGGACTGTGCTGAGACGTAGTTCCTCCTCAGGTCTGGGGAGGAATCTGAGATTCCGCATTTCTAACAGGCTCCCAGGTGACACCACGTTGCTGGTCCATGAGTGCCCTTTATTTTTTTATTTATTTTTTTTAAAATATATTTTATTGATTTTTTACAGAGAGGAAGGGAGAGAGAGAGAGAGAGTCAGAAACATCGATGAGCGAGAAACATCGATCAGCTGCCTCCTGCACATCTCCTACTGGGGATGTGCCCGCAACCCAGGTACGTGCCCCTGACCGGAATCGAACCTGGGACCTTTCAGTCCGCAGGCCGACGCCCATGAGTGCCCTTTAAACAGTGAGGCATTGCTCTGACCGGTTTGGCTCAGTGGATAGAGCGTCGGCCTGCGGACTGAAGGGTCCCAGGTTCGATTCCGGTCAAGGGCATGTACCTGGGTTGCGGGCACATCCCCACTAGGAGGTGTGCAGGAGGCAGCTGATCGATGTTTCTCTCTCGTCGATGTTTCTAACTCTCTATCCCTCTCTCTTCCTCTCTGTAAGAAATCAATAAAAATAAATATATTTTAAAAATAGATAAATAAATAAAATAAACAGTGAGGCATTAAGTCCGTCGTTTTTGTTAGGCTCAAAGCTGCCGTTCTCTTTTTAGAGAAACAAGCTCACGTGTGCTTGACTGACCCCCAGCGGGAAGCTATGGGTGCTTCCTTTCCTCACACTCCCTGTTGTGAATTAAACTGCATCCAAAAAATGTGTTCAAGTCCTAGCCCCCAGTTCCTCTGTGACCTTACTTGGAAATAGGGCCTTTGTAGATGTAACCAAGTTAAAATGAGGTCATACTGAATTAGCATGAGCCCTGATCCCATGATTGGTTTCCTTATAAGGAGATGGAAATTTGGACACAGAGACAGACACACACACAGCAGGGAGATGCCAGATGAAGACGAAGGCAGAAATTGGAGTGATGCAGCGACAAGTCAAGGAATACCAAGGATTAGGGCAAACGCCAGAAGCCGCAATAGGCAAGGATAGACACCTCCAGATCTGCCTTCCAGAGGGACCGTAGCCCCGCTGACACCTTCATTTTGGACTTCTACCCTTCAGAACTGTGAGAGAATACGTTTTGGTTATTTAAGGCTACCCAGTTTGTGGTCGTTACAACAACCCTAGGAGACTTATACCCACCCTTGAGGGCTGAGCCTCTGTGACCCGAGCCTGCCCATGGGCCTCATCTCTATGTCCATGCATACATGTGCGTGTGGGTGAGCACACACATACACACACACGCACGCTCACACATACTCACACACACAGTGCCAAAACTTGTTTCCCAGCAAGGTCAGGCCCTAGAGAGCTGACTTCAGCCCCAGTCCAACAGTAATGACCCCACAGGACCGGTCCTTCCCCCATTACCCGCCATGGCTCCCGCTCCCTGCGCAGCCTTCAGGGGCCTCTGCTTGTCTGGCCTCTCCCAGCCTGTCCAGCCAGGCCTGCCTCGCATCTTCAAGCCACCTTCTCCTCTGGCCGGGCCTTTGTGCTTGCTGGAGCCTCCCATGAGAAGCACCCTCTCCACCTCCCCATCTCCATCTCACCCATCCTTTAGGAGCCAGCACCGTGTCCAGGAGACCTTCTCCAACTCCTCAGCCCTCACTGATGCCTTCTGCCCCTGCACAGCAGACTCTCCTGCCTGCCCACTGCAGCCTGACTGGGGGCCTTCGAGGACAGGGCCTGTGTCTTCTCCCTCTACCTCCCTCTCAAGGAGAATGGGCTGAACTTGACACTCTTGCTCTGGGAGTAACTGGCTGGTAAAGAAAGAGGGTCTGATGGGAGAAGAGGAGAGATTCTCCCTGGGGTCGCTCTCAGACTCACTGGAAGCCAAGTGGCAATTACTCAAGAGATCTGTACGGCCCTGACCAGTGTGGCTCAGTGGATAGAGCATCGGCCTGTGGTCTGAAGGGTCCCGGGTTCAATTCTGGTCAAGGGCATGTACCTTGGTTGTGGGCACATCCCCAGTGGGGGGTGTGCAGGAGGCAGATGATCGATGTTTCTCTCTCATCAATGTTTCTAACTCTCTATCCCTCTCCCTTCCTCTCTGTAAAAAAAAATCAATAAAATATATATATTTTTTAAAAAAGAGAGAGATCTGTACACACTCCCAGCCTGTTGCCAGTCCATGCCTAGTGGTGGAGGAAGGAGAGAAGGAGAAGCAGCCAAAACTACCTGAAACCACCCACTAAGTCTATGAGAACCTCTCCCAGGCCACAATGGTCCTACCTTACCCCAAAGCAGGAAGATGGCCAAGTGGCTTCTCTCTGGAACTTTGAACCTCTGAAGGAATGGTTGGTGGGAAATGCTTTTCTTTTCTTTCACAGCTTTATTGAGCTATCACTGACATACAATAATCTGCACATATTCAAAGTGTACAGTCCGATCAGTTTTAACATGTATGCACCTGTGAAACCATCACCACAACTGAGATCATGAACATATCCGTCACCCTACAAGTGCCCTTGGCACTTTCTAAGTAACAGAGCTGAGAGAAGACACACTGGAGTTCTCTGGAAGTCCTGACTTCACCATTTAGTCCCTGTGTGCCCTGGAGCAATTTGCTTAACCTCTCTGTGCCTGTTTCTTGATCTGCAATAGGGGCCAACCTTCCTAAGGCTACCATTAGTGGTCAGTGAGTCAATGAGAAAAGACCCTAAAGCACTCAGCATGGTAAGTGTGGTTTAGAGATTATTACTATTGAACCTCTGCAGCCTTCCCTACCCACCACACAAGGATGGGGTATAAAGGTGCTTTGGGGCTGTAAAGCACAATGGACTCCTGTTACTAATCTTAACCTGGCTCACTTTCTCTGATCCCCCAGGGAATCAGAACTCCCCTACCTCACCTCCGAAGCCTTTGTCCAAGGCAGTGAAGCTCCCTTTCCCACCCAGATGTCCAGTGACCTGCCCCAGTTGCTGGAGAAGGTAAACCTTCCAGGCTCCCCCACCTGGACAACAGTAGAAAACCTTTGAGGGGGTGAGATGGAAAGGCTATGACTGTGCCATCAGAAGGCTCTGGGTTAATGTCAACTGCACTTCCTACTAAGAGTGTAACCTCAGGCAAGCCACTTAACCAGTCTGAGTCCTGGTTTTCTTACCTGTAAGATGGGGTCATAATGCCATCTTTATAGGAGTGCAGGGAGGATTAAACTAATGTCCTGGGCACCAGGCAAACCACATGGAAGATGCTCAGAAACTGGCTTTTCCTTGGGCTCACTTATAACACATCAGGGCAGCAGCACGGCAATATCCTGGCAGTCAGGTCTCTTCTGATGGTGGTAAAGGAGGTGGAGAGACTTTAAAAGTCAGAAGAGGAGGGCCTGCAATGAGCAGGGGCAAATACAATATTCGGGAATGCCAGACACAAGCCCCCAGCACAGGGCAGGGCTAGAGGCCAAGCAGCCTGTCCAGCTAAGCCTGTGTCCAGGAGCAGAAGCTGTGAGGGGAGTATGCAGGGTCACTCACAGGGTTTCTCTTCCAGATTCTGCTCCTCCATCAGAAAATGCCTTCCCCTACTAGCCTCCCACCCTCGATCCACCCTAGCAGAGAATAACATCCCTGCTTCCGCCAGGGAGAGCCCACCCAGCCTAGTGCATAACCTGCTGAAATATCCTGTAACAGAATCCACCCCCACCTTGGCACTTTGTGGAGAGCCATTCCGTTCCCTGCTGTGTGGTCTTGAGCCAGCCACTCCCTCTCCCTGGGCCTCAGAATCATCTATAAAGTGAGAAGGACAAAGTCAACCCCTTAAATTGCTGTGGGCTGAAATGCAAAAGGTAGACACAGTATCAAGCACAGTATCTGGCACATAGAAGACCCTCAATAAACAGTAGCTATTAATACTTTTTTTTTTTTCATGACTCTGACATTTGGTTTCATGATCTTTTCAAAGATTTCAGTCAGTGTCCCTTCTGTCAAACCCATGACTGAAGTTGTCTTTCTAGCAGCCAACACTGATGCTCCTGTCTGCCTGGTATATACTCCCAACCTCAGATTCTCTTTTAAATGCCACCTTCACAACTTTCTTCATGCTGCTCCTTCCTCCTCACTACCCTTGCTGTAACTATGCACCATGTCTCAAGTGTATGGAATTTGTCAATTTTTTATATCCATTATCATGAATCCTTACAACTCTGGTTACTATCTCCATCCAAGGCTCAGGAGGTTAAATAACTGGCCCCAAGTCACAGAGAGATTAAGTGCTAAAGCCCAGATTCAAAACGGGGGTTTTTGACTAAAACATTTCAGCATTTCTCACGTCAACCTGCCCACCTCCATTTTATCAAATCCTGCTGATTCAAGGGCCAGGTTAGCGGCACCTGCCTCCAAAGGACACGCGGTCAGGTGTCCTCTCCTCTTTTCAAACCCCTTGGCTCCTGCATCAGGATCCAAATGCCTCCCTTATCCTCCTCCCGCCTCCGATGGGCTCCTTAAGGGCAGGGCCAGGTCAGACCCACTTCTGATTTCTGCTCCCTGCCTCCACCAGGCTCCTTCACCACAGTAGGTGCTCAACGAATACATGGCGGGTGGATTTGCCCCGAAAAGGCCAATATGCGCATTCTCCAACCCTCGGGAGGAGCAGCACCCCCAGATCCCACTGTATCTCTCCGTTCTGCCTTCTGCTTGGCCATCGCGAGCCTTGTCTTCCTGCCCAGTGTCCCCACAGCAAGGCCCGACCGGCCAGGGCCCTGGGGAAACCCACGCGGGTGGGCTGCCCTCCTCCTCAGGCTGGAAAAGGAATTTCACCTGATTAGGGGAGGGGCCTTCTCCCTCCCCCTCCCCCGCAGGAGCTCGTTACTCGGGGGCTGGCGCTGAAACTCGAGATGGATCTGCAGCCGGTCTGCACGCTAAAATCACCTAATCAACAGCACCCAAGCCCCGGCCTCACCCCTGACCAATTAAATCAGAATTTCTAGGGATGGGGTCCAGCCTGGTGTTCCTCTAAAGCTCCCCAAGAGGCTCTACTACGTCACCTGGGCTAAGGGCCTTTATGTTAATAAAATGGATCGGGCCCCATGCATGCCGCGCGCCCCAGCCCCAGGGAGCCCCAGGGCAAGGATTCCACCCGCACCGCCCGCGCCCAGGCTTCTCCCACCCTGACCCAGACTCTCCAACCCCCAGCCCGGTCACCCCGGGGACCCCGCGGGCAGCACCCAGGACTCCCGGAGCGGACTGCATTCCCGTCCCCCGCGGTCTGCCTTTTGCGTCCGACTGGCCCCCAGTCCGGCCCGCTCCTGCCCCTCAGCCCCGCCGCGGTCAACCCCTCACCGCAATCGTGGCGGCCGAAGCCTGCTCCCGGCTGCCCGGAACCAGGAGCCAGCAGGGGTCCTGCGCGCCCCGGGCTGCTTCCCCAGCCTGTGCCTCCGCCCCCGCCCAGCGATTGGCTCGGCGCAGCTCCCGGACGGCCGGCGGGCAGGTAGGAGCCCGCGCCCGAGGCCGCCGCCGCCATGTTTGTTATGGGCACGTGCCCTTACGGACCCCAAAAGAGAACTTGGGAGAAGGGGCGGGTTGCCTGTTGTCCGGACCTGCTCATCCCCTCCTCAGAGCTTAATGTCGTTTCAGGGTGAGGAAAGAGTGAAGAAATAAAACGGAGTCACTGTGGTCAAACGGCTAAATTACTAAAATCAAACTAGGCTGAGGCATGAGGAAATGATTCTATTCTTGCTTTAATTACCCTGGGAACTTAAACTTTTGAACCTTTCATTGTGCAACAATGCCTGGAGGTATGTATGGAAATCTGTAGATAACCCCCTGCAGACATTGGGGAAGAATGTTGAGTGTCCAGACCAGGGGTGGGCACTTTTTGACTCGAGGGCCACAATGGGTTCTTAAACTGGACCGGAGGGCCGGAACAAAAGCATGGATGGAGTGTTTGTGTGAACTAATATAAATTCAAAGTAAACATCATTACATAAAAGGGTACGTCCTTTTTATTTTTTATTTTTATTCATTTCAAACGGGCCGGATCCTGCCGTCGGGCTGTAGTTTGCCCACGGCTGGTCCAGACCATCTGACATCTGTGTGATTCCCATCTCGGACCAATCCAGAGGCTAAGAGGACAGGACTGATTCTTCTCAAGAATGTACTTTTTACTGTAAGAACTCACAGCTTTTATCTCTTATTGGGAACACTCTGGGTATTGCCTAGTTGTATTTCCCATTTGCAAATCCCAAGATCATCAAATAAATCTTTATCATTTATGTCTAGCCAAAGCCTCCTGATTGGTTTACACTCAGACAAGTTTAAATCAACTCCCCTGTCCTTCCTCAGCATTAATTCAGAGAATGAGAGCTCAGCACCTTCCTGCAAGCTTTGTCTGCCTGGATGCACAGATGACACAGATAAGGAGATGGCAGTGGCACGACCTGGGACTCCCTAATGCTGGATTGTGAGCCCCTCAAGAACAGACAGACCCAGCGTGAGCTGTGGGCACAGGCCCTAAGAGAGCTACCATGCAGCCCAACCTCCTCCTATTAATAATAGTAATAATAAAATATAAGGAGAAATGAGCTCCCAATATGTGCCCTGTATCATGTCAAGAATTCTATGTGGCCAGCACCGGTTTGGCTTGGTGGATAGAGCGTCTGCCTGCAGACTGAAGGGACCCGGGTTCGATTCCGGTCAAGGGCATGGACCTTGGTTGCGGGCACATCCCCAGTAGGAGATGTGCAGGAGGCAGCTGGCTGATGTTTCTAACTCTCTATCCCTCTCCCTTCCTCTCTGTAAAAAATCAATAAAATATATTTTTTAAAAAAGAACTCTATGTGCATTCTCTTGTTGAGTCCTCACAACATTCTTTGGAGGCAGGTGCTATCATCACCATTTTACAGATGAAGAAACTGAGGTTCAAAGAGATTCACTCACATTCATACAATAAGCAAGAGGTCCAGACAAGCTGGATCCCAGAACAAGAGTCTGTCCTCTTCTTACCCCTGCAGGCCCTCAAAGTTTCATGTTGCTCAGTCTAGTCTGGTGAGGATGCCCCATGTCTTCTCCCAGCAGGCTTGTAAGCCTGGTTAGGTTTCCAGGCAATCAAACAGCACACACCCACGACCTGCTGTTTCCCTGGAAATAGGGCAACAAGCATGGCCTTTAGTGCTGGGGGACCTGGGCCCCTTCCCCTAGCTCTACTTCTTTGTTATGGGACCCTACTTTTGTAAGCCTCCATATTATGCCTTATGAGGATTTTGTGGGCATTAAATGAGAAGCAGGGGCATACAAGTCTTGCAACCTTTTGGTCCTTATGCCTTTGTTGATGGTTGCCAACAGGAATATCATTCTCTTCCTCCTTCCTGACAACCTGGTAAAGGGCCCCTGTCCACAGCAAATGGACCAACACAAGAGCCCTGGCGTCCAAGGGCTAGAGTATGTTCAACCAGTCCTTGGGGAGTCCCTAGGAATCCCCAGAGGCCTTGCCCTCAGAATTCATCTCCCACCAGCCTGTCTCATTTCCCTCCTTCCCCTTCAGACCCTATTCTTACCTCCTATGTCTCTCCTAAGCCACACACACACATCATTTCTCTTCTAGACTTCAAGCAATTGCAGCAACCCCTCCTGCTCCAGAAAGCCTCGTGACTAGAAGGAAGGTGGCCATTTCTCCCCACCCCTACCCTTACCTTCATCTATGCATTCCTGGTGGTGAGAATAGAGGACAAGAAACCCAACAGTCAGCACAGAGCCTGGCACGGTAGGGCCTCCGTAAATGAACAAAAGAAGTGCCCCTGCCTTTCAATCTCTGGCCAGCACGTGCCTTCATTCAAAGCAAACCCTGAGTCTTTACTTAGCCCTCCCTGGGTGTCCAATTGGGGAACAAGGGAATGGGGAAGACTGCCAAAGGCCAGACTAATGTGAAATAATAGGAAAGACTTTGGCCCCTATGTTGCACTTGATGCCCCTGGTTACACTCTGAGCTTCCCAGCCATCTGGTTTCACAGTCAGTGTAACCAGTCATCCTTTAGTGTTGTCACCAGGGCTGGACCTTGTAATTATCTCCGATTTCCCTTCCTGGTTGCCAAGCACAGAGCTAACTAGGAGGGGACATGGGGTGTGACTGAGGCCATATTGCTTGCCTGACTTCTTGAATATCAGAGTTCCTGGATCCTGGTACAGATAGATACACAAACACTCTCGTTCCTTGAAATTCTCTCCTTCCTTGGCTTCCAACTTCTCTGACCCAGGTTCCCCTCCTACCTAACAATTTCTCAGTCTCCTTCACTTTTTCCCAGAGCTTTCTACAGCTGGAGGGAGGGTCCCCCCAAGTTTCCTTTTTTTTTTTATTGCTTAAAGTATTGCAGAGTATTACATATGTCTCCTTCTTCCCTCCCTTCCATTTTCAATACTCTTTCTTTAAGAACTCTGTGATTTTATTTTTAATATATATATTATTTTATTTTTTTCATCAACATTTATCACCCTATCCCCTCCTCCACCTTTACCCACACTCCTCTTCCCCCGCTCCCCCACCACCACAATCCCCACACTATTGTCGGTGTCCATGAGCTCTCTCCCTCTCTTTTTCTCAATTCCTCCCTGCAAGCTCCACCCAGAGCTGTCGGAGTCAACAGAAGGCAGGAGGAAATTATGATGGCCTGGCCACCCAGCAGCTGGGAGAGGGCACCAATTTTAATCATTCAGTGATTACTATCCACCCCACTGGGGAAGAAAAAGGTGGAGGGTAGTGACCTAAAGCAAGAGAGGACTGGAAGCAATCTTTCTGGCTTCCCCCAACTAGCTTCTGGGTTCAAATCACTGTGCTTCTTACCTACCGACTGTGAACCTGGGAAATGGCCTAACTTCTCTGAGTTTCTGGTTCCTTATCTATTAAATGATAATGATATCACTATGTTCTGCACACGATTATTAAGAACTAGAAGTTCTGCCTAGCCGGAGTGGCTCAGTGGTTGAACGTTGACCTATGAACCAGGAGGTCACCTTGGATTCCTGGTCAGGGCACATGCACTGCAGGCTGGATCCCCAGTAATAGGGGTCATGTAGGAGGCAGCCATCAAAGATTCTCTCACTGATGTTCCTATCTGTCTCTCTCTCCCTCTCCCTTCTTTTTGAAATCAATAAAAACATATATATATATATATATATATATATGAAGAACTGTAAGTTTTTATGTAACATTCTCGAGCAGAAGGACTGTGAGATAGCCACAGCATGGACTTGAGACAGACATGAGGCTGAATTTCCCCCTTATCATAACTGTCTGTGAGTCTGAGCAAGCTGTGGTGAGGGTATCACGGAGCACAGGGCTCGGCATCTCGGTTACTGTGGGTACAACCAGCAGCTCCTTCAGGCTGGCTAGCTCCTGGCCAGCTCAAGGTGTTTCCCTTTGCCTGGAAACGGGGAGGTGTGGCTGGGGCAGGGCCTGCAGGGGAGCAGCTCAACTAAAAAGTGGGAGAGGAACCCCTGCCTGTGAGGACCAACTGCCCTGGCTGAAGGAGATAAGTGAGTGGAACAGCATTTCTGGACTAAGGGCTTGGCTTGCAAAGGTGCTGGGTCCATATTGTGTGCTGGGAGAGCGGGGTTCCAACCCGACCTGGGACAAGAGGTAAGGCGGGAGCCAACACCTTAGGCAGGGTTCCCTGAAGTCAGGAGGCAAGTTCAGCCTCAAGATTCAGAGCCCTTGACTAGCAGGTCCCAGGGACTGGTGGTTAATAAGAACGAAGTGTATCCATCCACCCCCCTACAGGTCTGGACCAGGACCGGCCCCAGTAAACACACCTGCCGCCTGCGCTTCCGACCATGTACTCCTACAGCTGCCTGGAGCCCGGGGAAGGCGCCTGGCCTCCGCTGCAGCCGCTCACCTACACCTACCTGCCTGGCCCCCTGCTGCTGCCCTCCATCCAGGCCCCGAGCGCCAGCGGCCGGGCGGCCCCGCGGGAGTACCACTGTTTCCACGGCGCGGGCGCGTGCCCGGGGGCCGCGCCGCTCTGGTGGGCCTTCCCGCCGGCCTACGCCGCCGCCCTGCCCCCGCCGCTTCCGGCGCCCGGCTACCCGGGGGCGTTGATGCCGGCGCCCGCGGAGGCGGGGGCCGCGAGCTGGGCGCCGTGGCCCGAGGGCGGCAGCCTGCAGGCGGAGCTGCGCTGGGGCCGCGTGGAGCGCGCGTGGGGCCCGCGCCTGGAGCTGCCGGACTTCGTGCGCCGGGAGCTGCGGCGCGTGTACGGCACGTACCCCCGCACCGACGTGCGCGTCACTTTCCGGGGCGGCGAGTTCCTGCTGCGGGCCGCGCCGCGCGTGGGCGAGCCCGAGGTCCGCGCGCGGAGGCGCCTGCTGCGCCCGCCCGCCAGCAGCGGCAGCGGCAGCGGGGACAGCAGCCCCGCCGGGGAAGCGGCGGAGCGCGGCCGCCGAAAGGCGAGGACAGGCCTGGGCTGAGGGCGCCGCTCCTCCTCGGCCAGAAGGGAGACCTCGGTTTGCACGGGGGCTGGGTGCCCCGGTCACCTGTCCGCTTTGCCCTGACCCACTGCCCGCCGCCCCTCTCCCGCGCGGCCTTGATGTCTCTCCTGTTGTTGCCGGTTGGTGGGGGAAGAGCGAGGAGGGATGAAGGACACCGCTGGGCGGGTGTCCTGTTACTCTTTCCTTTTACGTGGACTTGGGAGGCCTGGGTGTGGGTGGGAGAAGGGCCTGGCCGCTGTTTCCTCTCTCTCTCCTCCTCCCCATCTCTTCCCCTTAGAAGCCTGCGGTGAGCCCCCATTTTCCCTCTCTTCTCCTCCTTCTAGCAAAGCTCCCCGAACTCCCCAAGCTGAGGGCCCACCTCTCTCCAGCTTGTCGTGAAAAATAAATGAACGTAGTCAAGTGTACACTGCGGGATCATTTGTATGTTTGGAGCTGGGGTGTTTTCTGTGTAATGTGAGCCTCACTTCCCTGTCTGGGGTTCAAAGAGTTGGGAGGGGTTAGAGGGGCCCACTGGGGGGAAATGTGCCTCCTCACTGGCTGCACCCAGCGCCCCTCCCTGTCTCCCCCCCCCCCCCCCCCCGCGCTTCACCCGCCTGCAGCGTGCAGGACACCCTCGCAGGCCCTGCACCCCACCACCCACAGAGAGCTTCTGAGGGCATAAGCTCCTGTTGAAGCACAGGTGGCAGGCGTGGCTGGGGAAGGGAGATCTAAGACATTGAGCTGGCGCTGACGTTTTCTAGTCATGTAACTAGGCTCCCTGAGCCGTAGTTTCTTTGTTAAAGAAGCATAAAACCAACCCAACCTACCTGGAAAATTCACTAGCATTGCAATTCAAGTTGCATGTCACTCCTAGTTTCCTGAATCTTGCTAATAGTCATTAATAAGTTGAATTTGCAATAATTGTGTGTGTTTGTTGGAGCATTAGGTCCACACATCCAGTTTTAACTATGGGCTAGCTAGCCAGACCTCCTGATGTGATACCTCGGCTGTATAAATCTGGCTCCTTGTGGAATTGCTTTTACTGAACTTTCATGTAAGTGGCCAAAGCTGCCTGGGCATTCAGCTATGTTATTGAAGATATAGATCGTTTGATTGAACACTACTGTGTCTGAGCTTCATGGAAAGTTCTCTGAAACCTCAGCACTTGGGGAAGGTTTCTCCTGGTGAGTGGTTTTTTTGTTCGTTCGTTTGCGGGGTTTTTTAATCTTTGAAACACCAAGTATCTCATAACTGATCATATTTTTCTCTTTGCCCTGGTTTCTAGGGAGCTCAGAGCCAAGTTTGCTTAGCCTGTTTTGTGCAAAGCCTAGATCAAAATTTGTTATTCCTAGTTTCATCGTGTTTCCCTTTCCTTTTTTCTTTTTAATGACAAAACATAGGGAGGTGATATAGGTGTGCTGTGCGACCTTAGGTGAATTACTTAATGTCCCTGAAACAACTTCCTCACTGCAAGTGGATATGATGGTATTAGAACCTATAGCATAAGGTTTCTGAGAAGATGCCATGAAATTCTGCACATAAAATGTTCACCACAGTTCTGCTCAGTGGTTAGAGCATCAGCCCATGCACCGAAGCTTCGAGGGTTGGATTCCAGGCCAAGGGCACATACCAAGGTTGGGGGTTTGCTCCTCAGCCCAGGGGGGGCACATTTGAGAGGCAACCATTCTGTGTGTCTCTCACATCAATGTTTCTCTCCCTCCCTCCCTTCCACTTTCTCTGAAAAGCAATGGAAAAAATATTCTTAGGAGAGGATTAACAACAACAACAAAAATATTTACCACAGTGCCTGGCAGGTACTAAACGCTCAAATATTAGTGATTTTTTTTTAAGTTTGCAATACAAAAATATAGAATATAGGAAGTTAAAATATTTTCTAATATCCCTCACCCCCAAATGATCACTGAGGTCCAATCTATTTTTTTCTGTACACATGGTACTAATCACTTGAAAGGAATCTCACTGTTTTTGCCACCTGCCAAAACAGTTTTATATTAAGTATACTTTGGACATCATTTCATGCCCATGCACATGGAGCTACCTCATTCTTTAACATCTTCCCAATTTTCTGTAACATTTGAATTCCTTCCAGTTTTTAGCCATTGAAAGCCCATCCAATAAATTTCTTGAGTGCCTGTTATTTGCCAGCAACTTGTACTAGGCCCTGGGATACAGTAGTGAATAGACGGTCTCTGCTCTTACGGAAATTGCATTTTAGTAGGAAGACACGGGGTGGGGCAACAGGCAAAGAAATAAAGGGCAATTGTCATAAGTACTACAGTGAAAATAGCAGCTGAAATGGACAATGCAAGTGGAGTAGTGGAATTTAATTAGAATAAGGTAATCAGGGAAGGCTTCTCTGAGGAGATAACATTTAAACTGAGATCTACAGAGGATGAAGAAGCTGGCACTGCAAACAAAAGGGTGAGGGAGAAGCCAGGCAGAGGGCATGATGGGTGCCAAAACCACAAGGAGTGACATTTATCTTCATTCATTCAACAGGCATTTGAGAGCCTACAATAGGCCAGGCAGTATTTGAGACACTGGGGCTACAGGAGAAACCCAAGTAAGTCCTTGCCCTCATGGAACTTACTTTAAAGGTGCAATGTAGAGAAATAGAGGGTGACAACAAGCAAATGGGTGCATATATGATATAATGTCTGATAAGTGATGGAGTGCTGTTTTCAGTGGGATATTTAGAGAAGGCTTCTTTAAAGAAGTGACTTCTTTCTTTTTTCGAGGGAGAGAAGCATTAATGTGAGAGTGGAACATAGATCCACTGCCTCCTCCATGCCCCTCACCAGGGATCAAGCCTGCAACCCAGGCATGTGCCCTGACCAAGAATTGAACCAGCAACCTTTTGGTGCATGGGACAACACCTAACCACCTGAGCCACACTGGCTAGGGCTAAAGAAGTGACTCTTGAGTGGAGACAAAGACCTTTGCAAGCCATTTGAATACCTGGGGGGGGGGGGGGGGGGGAAGCAGGTGCAACAACCTGAGGCTGGAATGTTTTCCTGTGAGTGAGTGAAAAAGTGGTAGTTGATGAGATTAAAGATGAAACTAGATCCTATGGCACCTTGAAGCCATGTTGAGGATTTTGGACTTTATTCTTAGGGGGGAAGGTTGTGAACAGGAGAAAATGTGATCGACCTTTAAAAAATTATTCTGGATGTTGTATAAAAAAGAGACTGCAGATAGGTTTTTGAAGCAATACAGGCAAAATAAGATGATGATGTGTGGTCATATTTGGAAGTAGTGAGGATAGTTCATTCAGTGGTGAGAGCATCAGCTCTAAGGGTAGTAGTAGTGAGAAAACAAATATCCTTGAATATGCAGCTTGATCACAAACACAAGTGTTAAACTGTAGAATATAAAGTCTTCATATTAGAAATTGAATCATTGAACAATGACACTCCAGTAGCAACAAGCACAGCCAGCTCCCAGATCTCTGGTTCTAAATTCCATTCTCCACTAAAAGGAGCAAAGCCCCTTGGAAAATGGCTCATTCCAAGGCTGTGGCAAGGAAGGTAGGCGATGAGCTGGAACAAATTGTGCCAGAAAATAAAGGACTACTCAAAAAATGTCAAAAGAACAAAGGAACCCTAACTGGTTTGGCTCAGTGTATAGAGCATCAGCTCGCAGACTGAAGGGTCCCGGGTTCGATTCTGGTCAAGGGCATGTACCTTGATGGCAGGCTCATCCCCAGCCCCAGGGCCGGGTGCAAGAGGCAACCAATTGATGTGCCTCTCTCACATCTATGTTTCTCTTTTTGTCTCTCTCCCTCCCTTCCACTTTCTCTAAAAATCAATGGGAAAAATAAAAATAAAAAATAAAAATAGATGGGAAAATATTGTTGGGTGAGGATTAAAAAAAAAAAAAAAAGAACAAAGGAGCCAGTTTGAAGGAACTTCCACTAGCAAATCAGGGACAATGTAAGCATCAAAAAAAATAGTCACAGGAACAGATAAATAAAATAAAATAAGAATGCATAAGTCTATACTAATATTATCTAAATAAATAAATATGAAAGGAAAGCTCTTCCTTACAGTAGAAGGAATAATGAAATTAGAAAGTCACCATTCCCAGCCATTACAGTAATTGATTCAGATGAGAATCATTCATAGATACTAAAACTAATAGGTGGGCCCTCGCCGGTTTGGCTCAGTGGATAGAGCACAGGCCTGCTGACCAAAGGTTCCTGGGTTCATTTCCGGTCAGGGGCACATACTTCGGTTGCAGGCTCCTCCCTGGCCCGGGCCCTGGTCGGGGCTCGTGCAGGAGGCAACCGATCCATGTGTTTCTCTCACATCAATGTTTCTCTCTGTCTTTCCCTCTCTCTTCCACTCTCCCTAAAAATCAATGGAAAAATATCCTCAGGTGATAATTAAAAATACAAACAAATAAAACTAATAGGTGAAAGTTTGATGAGAAACAGGATATTTATATAGTTTCAAAGTATGTTCCAATAAGGTATTTACTAATTACAAAGCAAACAGTAACAACTTAGAAGGGTAGTAGGGAAAGCAGTGGGAAACACTTGAACCCCATTGCAGCACTCCTTCTTGAATAAAGTCTTTCCTACCATCTTTAACAGCAGTGTCTTGAAATTTTTTTCTTTACCAGAGACAAGTCAACATCATGTGATCTCTGATATGTTAAACTGGAAAACACCACATCAATTCAGCAGTAATGCATAATCATGAGGAAACATCAGATAATCGTAAATTGAGACACAACCCCGCTGGTCTTTATTGTTCAAAAATATCATAAAAGACAAAGGAAGGCAGAGAAACTGTTTCTGGTCACAGGAGACTAAAGAAACATGAAAGCAACGCAATGATCCTGTTTGGGAACTCAGACCAGAATAAAAATTGTTATGAAGGACATTATTGGGACAAGGAGCAAGATTTGAAATAAGGACGACAGAGAGAGAAAGCAGCAGGGCAAAAGGTTAATGGTTGGTAAATATGGTAGAAGGATAAGCAAGAGTTCTTTGCACTATTCTGGCAACTTTCTTGTAAGTTTGTAATAATCTCTAACTAAAAATAAAAATGTAAATAGTAAATTGAATCTCTGGGTCAAAAGGATACACATTTAAAATGTACTACATATCTATATTACAGATTTTGTTTTAATCTTGGAGAATTGTCTTTATGCATGTAAACCCCCTCAAATCTTGTTTTGAAACAAGGCAGGTTTCAAGTAAATCTTGGGTTTCACACTAAGTAACATGTGTCCTGATTCCCCTTCCCTCTCTATCCTCTTGGGCCCAAACCCTTGGAGTCTCAATTTCCCCCGTCTCTGAGGGATCTGCATTGCTCACACACATTTCTCCCAAGGCTCCCACTTATGCTCTGGAAATGCCCATATGCTGCACACGAGTTTACCCCTATCCTGTGATTAGAGGCTTTTGAAGGAGGTGCTGCCACTCAGCTCAGTTCAGCCGGCCCTGGACTTCCAAACCCCAGTGCTTGCTCCTGGTCCTGTGGATCTAAAGGAGTCCTTCAGGGAGCCTGGATGCTTCCTTCTTTGATCTTTTCTTTGAACTTGACATTTAGATGCTTAGAAATCATAAAACATCTGGGCTGCCAGGGATCTTGCTGGTCATCCGGGTCCAACCCCCTCAATTTACATTATGCTGGGAAACCAAGGCCAAAGAGAAATGACTCACCCCAGGTCACACAGTGGGTAGGAATCCAGAGGTCCTAGATCCCAGCAGGGCTTGGGCCACCAAACTCTGATCCTGGTGGCCTCCTGCTCCCAGCCTTGTCCCAGCCTTACCGAACCCTGGCATCTCACCTGGAGCCCTTCACTCAATGAATTTTGACTGACCAATTTTTAGGCCACCTCTCAACCGGATAGCTCACATTCTACTCAAGGGAGCAGGCCATGTGCTGAAGCCCTGTATAGAAACTATTAACACAATCTTCACAAAACTTTGATGTGGATATAATTATTATTCCCATTTTAAAATGAGGAAAATGAGGCCTACAGAGGTTAACAACTAACTCAAGGTCACACATAGAGAATGCATTTGGGAAATCTGACTGTAGCCTCAACCTCTAGGCCACACTACACTGCCTGCCTCTTCATTGATGAGACACACTCAGAAAAATTTAAGGAACATTAATTAAACAGCTACTGTGTGCAGAACACTGGACTAGACACACTAAGGGGCTCATGAATTGAGCCGTAATGGAGGGGAGTATGGAGGATTTCTAAGAGATCATATTACCATTGGGAGAGGCTTCTTGAAAGAGGCACCTGACAGAGGCTTTAAAGGATGCATAGGCTGCCAACAGAGTGATGGGGAGGAGGGTTTGAAGCACTGAGGAGGAACCATGGCAGCAGAAGCAGGAAGCAGCAGGGCTTCACTGGAAGATCAGGCTTCAAAGCTAAGTGGAGGCCACACTAGGAAAGACTTTAATGACAGGGTAAGGAGTTTTGGAGGGTCATTCAAGTCTTTGAGCAGAAGAGTAGCCTACGGAGCACCTGGCTGGGACGATGTGAGCCTGAGCCATGACCTCGATATGGGTCATGTATTGGTGGTGTAGCACAGCCGGGCACCAGAACTGAGTCCCTAGGGCATTTGCTAGAGCTCACAGCCTATGGAATTCAGTTCTCAGAGCCAGGTGGCCAAAGTTCTCTCAGCCTGGATGCTGCCCTCCCATGCTCACGCCTGTGAATTTTCCCCCATTCCCAGGATGGGTCAGATAAGGAACGTGGGATCTCCAGATAACTATTATCCCAGGGAGGGTCTAGCTTGGAGCTGAAAATAGGACCCGTTGCTAGGGAAAGGGGCAAAGTTTCTTTAAATTTCAAAAGGAATTAATGTAAGATATGAGGGGAGGGAACTAAGGGCCAAGGCAAGAATTCCGTGGGCACTGCCGAGTTAGTCCCATCATCTCATGCCCAGATGTGCTGCTCCTCCTAGTGGGACCAGATGTGAAGCTGGAGGGGTAACGGGTTGGAAGAAGAGCCAGAACATACCTACTGAGAAGGGCATCTTTCTAGGGACTAAGTGGCTTCCTGAGCCAGAAGGGAGCTCCAAATGTGGATCCCCAAGATAGCAGCCCAACAGTCCCAGCTCCCCGAAGATCTCATCTGAAGTACCTGAAAGATAGGAGACGGGTGGAGAAAGATTTCCCTGACACACACTTGCACTTTCTAGAGAGTCAAACTGAGGGCTGAGTACTATTCCCACTCACAAGGCCGAGCTGCAGCCTATCCCTCAAGAGGGACAGGCAAGCCAGCAGGCTCAGGAGCCACCCTACCCTCACCCTGCTTGAGTTGAAAGGGGGTGGCGCTTACCAATGAAGCCTCCTCTCTCGCTCCAGGGACTGGATCTGCAGTGATGTTCTCAAAGAGAGCTCCTTAAATAGGGCTCCATCTGCCCCAGCCAACTCCTGCCCCCGCCCCCGCCCAGACTCTTCTGAGAAAGGAGGAAGGTGTGGGAGGGCTGGGCACACTGCCCAGAGAGCCCTTTCTGACCTCAAGCAAGAATGGGGACACCCCTTCTGCTCCTCCCTCCTCCCCCCCTCCAGAGTGTCCCCTTCCTCACCTCAGTCTCCGAGTCTCTCCCAGCCTTTGAGACCAACCAGCTGGGTCCTTTCTCTGCTCTTACTGTCTGGGAAATCTGCCCTTTATGCCTAATTCCTCAAACATAAGCTTCTAGCTTTCCCAATCAGCTAAGGAGACCCAAGCACCCAAATACCAGCTGCAAAATTCACTTGAGGGGATGGGGAGAGAGGAGGCATCACTCTATGTCCTTTCAACCTGTGTGGCTTTAAACTGCACCCAAAGGGCAGGCGGGGCCTGTTCCCATCTTGGGGAGGGAGAGACTGAGAGAAAATGAACATCTTAAGGTCCGGCCGGCTGTGGAATGCTGAGCAGGACAAGTGCTCCCTGGAGCCCCCACTTTACAGTGTGTGTGCGTCCTTGTGTCTGTGGCTGTCTCTCTCTGCAGTCCACCCGCTGTCCTCTGACCCCAGAACCTGGCCCCTGCTACACAGAGTTGGCACTCTCCACAGTTCGAGCTGGGAATTTAGGGGTTCACCCCAAGAGGTCTTTCCCATCAGCCTTCCCTGAAAACCCAGGAAGTTCTCTCTGATGAAGATATCTAGTTACATCCAAGAACAGGCGATGGTGGAGGGGAAAGGCAGGGTCAGGGATGGCTTACAGGAGTCTTAGGGCCCACCTAGGGACAGCTACTGAGGAAAACCGGCAGTTCCTGTGATGGGGGTGCAGGGAGAGGAGAGTGATCATCAGTATTGTGCAATGGGACGGGGTGCAGCAGGGTGGATGAGAGATGGGGGACGGGGAGAAAGGGTCAGTCTAGAGAGCTGGCACGGGCCTGAGGCTGTGGAGCTACCCACCCTCCCCTTCCCTGGGGCCAGTCTGCCGAGTTCAAAGTGACTTACCACACCCCTCATCAACCCCAGCAGCGCCAGACTGGCAGCGCAGTGCTTTCATGGGAGCACAAGGCCAAATGTGCTCCCTCCTTCCCCCTCCCCTGTCTGCCCCTCTCCAGCAGTCAACATCTTGCTGGCTTGGTGGGAGCTGCAGTGAGAAACTGGGCTGGAAGAGGGAGCAGTGATCCCCTTTCCCCACTATTTTGACTCAAGTCCTTAGGGGAGAGGGGAGCGTGGGACTTTCTACCGTGGACTGAGACTCCCCAGGGCAGCGACAGTCTCTGGGTCCGCAGCACCGTTCAAGGGGACTAGCCCTGAACAGGAGCTCATCCCTGCAGATTGGGGATGAGTGAGCTCATTCTTAAAGGGAACTCTTTCCCTAATGACCCACTGTGGGGGGTTTTGAGAGGAAAACTCCCCACGGGGTAGCTTCCCCACAGGGTAGCACCCGAAAGCAGAGGCCGAAGGAACAGAAAGAGGAAGTGGAGGCCGTGCTGGGTCCCGGGTTCAGGTGCCCTGTCCTACATGAGAAGCCCCGTCCACATGGGCATGAAGGCACCGGCGGGAGCATGGCCTGCGGGCCTCCTGGGTCTGAGCGCAGGTCGATCCTCACCCAGAACACCTTTTTCCCACCCCCGCCCCCGCCCAATCCAGGACCCAGACCCTGTAGCCCCGCCCCCCCCACCCCCCCGGCCTTGGGGAGACATTTCTGTTAAGGGAACAGATATGGTGGGGAACATAAGAGTTGATTGGGTAACAGGACTTGACCCTGGACGGGACACGAAGGGGAAGAGGCACTGGGGTTTGGGCAAGAAGACCAGGCCTGGGGAAAGGGGCCACCAGATCCAGCCAGGGAGCCTTACGGAAGGACAGGAGAGACAAGGGGAGCAGGAGAAAGCTATAGGTTTCGAGGGCGGAGACAGTGGCAAAGAAATAAGGCGGATGGGAAGACACCGGATGGGGTCGTTGGTGGCAGACGTGGAGCCCGGCGGCGGTACAGTCGGACGCTGCGCCTCCACCCACCGGTGGCGCCTCCAACTTCAACGCCTTCCTCCCCGCAACACACGTGGCTGCGGCGGGAGGCCGTCCCAGCCCAGAGGCGAATGAAAAGGGAGCAGAAGCCACGCCCATCCACGGGCATCTGCCCTTCTCAAACATGGTGGCCGCGGCGCCCCTGGGAGCGCACCGCTCTGGGCCCCGCCTGTGATCTCGTTGGTGGGGCCGCGGGATGAGAGCTGCACCGCGCGGGACCGGTAGCTGGCGGCGCCCGACGGAGCAGGTGATGTGCCCCCCGCCCCCGGCCCAGGGCCGGGGAGCCGCAGGGCGCTGGCCCGGGTACCTGTCCTGTGTGTCCCCCCACCGTACCCCGGACCCCATTTCTGATTCTCGCCGTGGCTTGTCTCAAAGCCCCTCCCAGCTTGCTCAGGCCTCCTCGTCACGTGTCCCCCCAGGGCCGCAGCCGCATCCCCAGGCCCTCGCGCCCACGAGCCTGCAGCCTTGCGGGTACCTCGCTCGTTTGTTTAGGGAGCTCCTGCTTCAGGGGTCGGCCATCATTGTCGTCCCACTTCCTGTGCTGCCCCCTCGGCCCGTGTGTGTTCCCGCCCGACTTTGGATGCCGGGATGCCTGGTGCCATCAGCGTCCTTGGCTCCTTTAAGACCTGCCTGGGGGGGGGGGGGGTGGGGGGGGACCACGAGGTCCTCTGGAACTTGCGCTGTGGAACCGGGGCCCCAGGGGCCGGGCTGCAGAGCGGCTGGGCGAAGCAGTGAATGCCTCCACGCCAGACCCTCTGAGTGCCACGGGCCTG